CGGTGTTAGGTCAGACCTCTCGCTGTCGCATATCGCGTCGCTCAATTTTAGATTTGTAGCAAATTGAGCTAATTCATCGAAGGTCGCGCGCATGCGGTTGCCCCTAGGGGTGACGTACCGAGCGAAAGCGGGTCCTTGTGACTTTAGGAAAAATTTGCCTTAATCCGGTATATTCTCGCTACTTTCGTAGTTTCGTGAAATGGTTCTGAATAGCATTTAGATCGCAGTGCTTTCCATTCAGATTGCCTCCACATGCTGCGTCTTTTTATTATAATGACTTCTAGGATCACTTCGAAGAGTTTCAATTCGAAAAGCACAGAGCCGATGGCAGGAAACTCCTCAAACAGAGCGCAGTCCCTACGATTCTTGGCGCTGGACTAGTCATCGCAACCAAGCAAAAAAAGGGTCAGAGATCAAATTATGTAATGTAACGTTAATTATCTACGGAAGCTACCCAAAGCACCACAGAAGCTTTTGTGTACCCCCTCGACCAGTTTAAATCAAGCTGTTTCAATACGCTGGACCCAAGATGGCGGCGACATTGTTTCCGTTTCAGCGCCGCTTCGCGGTTCTAAAACAAACCTTCGGAGTTTCGTTACTTAGGGAACCTATACAGTGACTCTAGATATAACCACATGATTTACGCACAATTAGTGACATTTTACGTGAATTTCTCAGTCTAGGTAGAATGTTTAGACTATTTTTATTTTATAACTTGTTAATTAAGAATGCTGGAATCGGCACCAGTGATGATAATTTACCAACGTTGGATTGCCATAGTCATTCGCGCGTTTGAAATTAGATTATGAGCAACAAAGTATATTATAGTCTGAAAAAACTATTGATCAAAATATCTTAATTTTATTATTACTAATACGAATTGCCGTAATGTAGGCCCCCCAAAAATGCCACAATGACAAAAACACGACATTCTACCATAATTAAAAGTCTTTACAGACAAATCCCATTTTTATTTCAATTTAACACATGAAAAACTTTGACATCGTTATCGAGACAGACATAAATAATTGATGTAATACAGCGCCCCATGCGTCACGCGTTGTTTTATTTTTTTTTATTTTTTTTTCAAAACACACAGATTTCTGTTTGCTGACTCGGATTCTGTTCCGGGTTTTTCGAAATTCAGAACACGGTTTCTAAATTTGTAGGTTCTTTGAGCATATTGTAAACAAATCACCCATTGCGATATTTTGTAAAATTTGAATTGATTCTATTTTTCTTGTGTTGGAAATAATGCTTAAGCAATTAGTCATCTAAATGCTTAAAACCCCATTAAAAGGCCCACAGGTCATTATTTCACATGACCTTTATCCGAGTAAAAAAAGGCTTCAAGAACACACAAATACCAGCGCTGGTTTTTCAAAAAATGCAATATTATGTTACCTGCAAGTTGTAAGGAAGACAATGTCTTTAAAGGGACACTGAACTCTCCAAAACATTTTTAAGTTCATAGACTGGACATGCGTGTCACAAAATAGAGGTTCCGCGAACAATTTTTTTGGCATAATAACTACGCTGTGAGCCACATCTTTAGGTATAGGGGCTAGAAACCGAAATTAACACATATATCAAGAAATTAAATCCAAGATAGAAGTTAGTTTCGGTTCTGTTTCTGAATTAAAACGTGCTTCACAAGTTAATGTGCTACAGGTCCGGAACAAGCTATATGGCCCCCAATTTCACCATAATACAACATCTGACATCACCTTTACAATGTTGCCAGTACCGCCACCCAGTTTCTCAGACCAAAATTAAGATTTCAATAGCTTCGAGAAAAAAATAAATGTGACTCGTAATTGGGTTGACTGTTACGATGTGCCTATTGGTGTGTTAGACCAAATTTGAAGCAAATCAGGGTCTGTAAAATTTTCACAGAACTCTGCTTTTCAGCAAAACAGTAGGGACCTTAGGAATGCAAAACCTGCTACCTGCCGCCAGTGTTCCTTTTATACTTACTCAATGTCTGGGAACAATCAAATCAAAAGAAACTCTCAAGGTAAAGCCCGATGGGCGCTTTAAGGGTATGATAAATGATATAAAATGAAATTAACATAGGATCCTAGTGGGCGAATTCGACTATGAAGCATCAAGTGGAGATTTTGGATTGATCAAACGTTGGCATCCGTTGGGAGCCAGATCGAAACAACCGGCTCGTGCTTTTATTCAAGAGCACGCGCACCGAACGCGAATGCTGCGCGGGCACCGATACTGTGATCTGTGATTGGGTACAGGTGAAATAAGCAGGGAGATTGGGCGAGTGTGATTGGCATCCGGTCGATGCATCCTTGTAAAGGCAGGCATTGACCTTGTTGACGAAAATGCTTTTGATAAAAATATCACTTTATTTTTCTCTAGTAAGGCGGTCAAGTGAGCGAGTTAAAAACGAAGATCAATAGCACGCACGCACGCACGCACGCACGCACGCACGCACGCACGCACGCACGCACGCACGCACGCACGGATGCATGCACGTAGGCACGCACGCACGCACACATACACGCACGCACAATTACATTTCAGACAACAATTCGCGCGATTCGGCAAGCAGCAGGAACGGTTTTGAACCTCAATTTTAAGAAGGGACAATACAACAATATAACTTGCTCAGTGTGAGCGTCTTCAAAGGTAAGAATATTCACTTTGTAGCCTACCCGCCTCGCATGTTAGGTGAGCATATATACATGGTTAAAATCAGCAAGCGACGTGGGGAAACTGGAGAAGAATACAGGAGACAGGATAGACCCTGAACTCACAATTCAAGCGGGGAGCGGTGGCCGAGTGGGCTAGCGAATTCCAGCTACGAACACGTAGAGCGAAGCCTAGTTCTGCAGAACCCAGCATCCTAGGTTCAATCCCCAACCCTTCCCGTTTCGATCTGGATGAGCATCGTACAGGCGTGCGGTCGTGTATCAGTACTGCGTGATGCACGTTAAAGACCCCCAGGCTAGAGGTTGTAGTGCACCGGTTAAATTTCTCATCTACAGCTGGGAGACTCGTCGCCCGCTGAGCAGACCAAGTTCTAGGCTGTATAAGCATACACACAACACAAGTTTTTGTTTTCTCACAGCTCAATGTCATCTAGAAGAGAAGAAGAAAGAGGATGACTCGTGACCAACAGGCACGTGTTCATGGCATGAGAACTCTAAGGCGCGGGGCGATGGCTTCAGCGGAGGCTATGCTTCCGCGCCTCGAAGCATTTAAAAACAAAACTTCCTTTTCAGATAGTGTCACAAAAGGATGACTCAGGCAGTGCTAACCCCGACTTTGAATAATATACACTTCGTAAATTTCTCTGAAGAGTTTTTTTCTCTTCTTATATCGCCCGATGACAGGGGTGCTGGCCAGGTTTGAATTACATGTACAGGCTTGACAGTGTAGAGGCAAGTGACCTCCTTACCGTTGAACTCATAGACAGGTTATGTTCATGTAGCCTATCACAAATACATATCCCTGTCTTTCTACCATACGTTAAGGGAATGCTCGAGGTACTGGGCACAAACAGTGTAACATGTTTCTTTTTTACATTTCACTCGATATATTTTTTTTCCGAATTTAAGTATACCTGGGAACAAATACGGGCCATTTCCTGAGGTGCTGGAAAAACAACTGGAACTTGATATCCTTAGGCTACTTTATTTAAGGTGTGCGATACCTTGTGCAAGCATGCAACCACTACAACACGTTTCTTCTCAATGTTGCGCTTAGTACTTTCTTCTCCTTTTCCTTTCTTAACCAAGGATCGCACGACCTCATTTAGCACCTGCCCCGGGAACCCGGATGACCAGAGTGTCTCAACCTGAGCTTTGAAGCTGTCATAAATGTTATGAGAACATCCTAGACATGAAAGAGCTATATCCATTTTAACAATTTTTGAGTGCGCTGACGAGTAATGTAATATACCCCTTTTTGAACGTAGGGAGAAGGATTACCGTAAATGGATAGGTGGAAAAATTGCAAGAACCCTTCCTCAGCCTCTTAATAGGTGTATCTAAGACCAAATCTACACTTACAAAAAATGTCCATAACATTGGTGACTAGGTCCTTTCCCAGGCGATTGTCAAGCAGAAGTAGAAAGTTATCAAGATATCGGAACACTTTTTTCACAGGAGGTCTAAGGACATGTTGAAGGGCAAAATAAACTCTGGCAAGAAAAATATCACCGAGGACAAGCGCCATTGACGACCCTGTACATTATCCAGAGCTTTGGAAAAAAACTTCGTTACGCTATCCTATGAACGTATAAATGAGATAAAATTGAACTAGTTCAGGAAAGCACTCAGTGGAAACACAACTCGAGATTTGGAAGGATAGTTTATCCTTGTCCTCAATACATAATTTGGCAGAGTCAGGTAAGATGTCACGGGGAAGTGAATAAGAAAGGTTCTGAACACCAACACTGACGAAACTATGGCTGCCATAATGATCTGCCTTCAAAGATTCCACTTCTTTCTTCCTCTCTTCTTGATGGAATATTGAGTTGTGAGTTGAGCGCCCCTCCTGTCTCCTGTATTCTTCTGCGGTTTCCTCACGTCGCTCGCTGACATTAATCTTGTATAAGGCTTACAAACCACTCCAGTTCACCACATTTCTCTAGGCGTGCATATATTACCCAGTAAAATACTATTACAGAACCACCACCAGAAAAGGAGCATGCATAGAAGGACAAGCACGTACTGCCATATGTGTACTCCTGACACCCGGTCCTACGATATGGCAGTTTTAAACTGGGGTCACACTGCTCACACTTCATACAGAACGACAGTCTGCAAACACGAGTCACTGGAATATCCGTAGTTCGAATGCCGTGTGCCAAGTTTCTCCTTGAACTCATTGCCCTGCCATGCGGCATTCAAAGCAGGGATCTCGCAGAGTCTCGCGTTTTAATCTGTATGCGGACTCTCTTTTGTATGATGTATATATACATCACACAAAAGAGAGTCTGCATACAGATGACCCGGTTTTAACGGACTGGCGCGCGTCTACATCTTTTCACGCAGCATAACCTCGAGTTCATCAACACAAGCGCAACTCTTCAGCAGCTTTTGAAGGAAGCAGGTAAATGTGGGAGCTCCGGGAAGCGCTAACCTAAGCCGAACAAACACCACGTAATAAGCACAGCCAGCAATTGAGCCACCGGCCAGGAAAGCAAACGGAAGGAAGTCCACAGGCTGCACAAGGCGCGCGCCAAGTGGGATCAAGAAAGCCAAAACGCGGATGGCTGCCAGCACGGTAGGTGCCCGGTAAGGCCTTGGGGCGTCCTTCATGGAGACCCGTAGCACAAAGAACGACACTAAGATCAGGCCGTTGTTCAACGAGTAAATGAGAGGAAGAGCCTCCACGATAAACGTGACGGATCCCAGAAATGTGTACAACATTGACAGGAGCGCACGAAGTAACAGCGACGTTAGGGGCACCCCGCTGTCTACGTTGACCGTAGAGAAGATGGCCGGGAAATGGCGCTGTCTCGCTGCCGCAAGGATAACTCTACTATTGGCGAAGAAGACGGCGCATGACGTGCCGAAGAGCCCAACGGCTATGAGGAGAGGCATCAGGGTTGCCGCCTTGCTACCCCACGTTGCGGCGACGAAGGTGACTGCGACGACCTCCGTACTTGCCATAGCCGCCGAGTCGAGGACCGTGAATAGAAAAAGGTTGTAGAGGAAGACGAAAAGAGTTGCAATCAGCAGTCCTCCAAACATCGCCAACGGAATGTTGCGGGACGGATTGGCTATTTCACCAGCGAAATTGCTCACAAACTTCCTGTAAAAAAATTAAAAAAAAATGTATTTTTTTTTTTTGTGTGTGTGGTTACGTGGTACTCTATGCGTGTTCGTGTTTTCAAATCAAGTCCGCGGGCCGGTCGGAAGGATTCCGCGGGCAAGCTCTGTCCCGCACGCGGGGTTTAGAGGCACGTGCTATAAAGAAAGCTACCACCCAAAGAAACCAGCAAAACAAATCTTGTGCAGGTCTATATCTGAAGAGCTTTTGTGACCTAGTTATTGTCTTGTGTCTTGCACGGAAAATGTCTACAATTTTGTTTCAGCAGACGATGACTTACCTACTATTTGCAAATGCACTGAAATTAGTTCTAATACCCTAGTTACACTAGCGCACCGAACTGTCATTAAGCCAACAATAGTTGACTCAATCACGATCGGCCGGAATTACACGGCGGCGCTAAGTATCATTGAGCCGCTAGCGATCACCGAGTTCAACTGAGCTGGTCTACCTCAGTTAACTGATGGGGGTTCGCCCAAGCTAAATATGGCAACGTTCGCCGCATCACCGCCCATGGCTAGCGCCAACGAAGCACTTACTATTGCGGAATACTGGGGTAGGTATCTAGAGAGTATCGTCGCAGCAAATACTGTCGGAAGAGGTGTAATTCGGGGCCAGAGCTGCCGCAAGATCGAACACGGCACGTCGCGGAAGCCAAAGCTAGGCGAGGGCGGCCATTTTGATGCCGGTGCCGATAAGTGGCTGCACTCGGGAATTATCTTTTCGTTAAGTAGGTAGGTCTATTAGCCCTAAAGTTTCGCCAATTGAGGCTTGCGAACAATAAGAAAACAAAAACTAAGCTACCATCCTCCTGTAGGTATGTGGGTTGCAAAGTATGCAACAGCAAGTTTTCCGGCGGTCGTCTCGGCGTTAAACAAGGGATCGTCGTAGAGATGATTTACTGAAATACAAAAAAAAGTATTGTAATAATGCGTCTGATGAAGTACCTACTATCGTGTTATCAATAGCGCTCACCTTCAGATACAGTGATGAATCCAGTGATAATAAATGAGATGAGAATGGTGGAAGTGATTATTGATAGAAATCCCTGGACTCTCGAAGATACCTGTATGGAGAAGCAGTTGACTGCCGTGGCCAAACCTGAAGACAGTGGCATAAAGTACCTTGCATTGAACGATTGTTTTAATGTTTTATATTGGATATCAAGTTCAGTTCTTTTTTTTTTACTCAACTGCTTTTTTGTACAAAGTGCAGGTTTTGAACGGACATTTACGGTCGCCGATAGCTGAAAAAGCCCATGGCGTAACGTGGTCACGGTACCTTGATATCGCTCTGAAGCAAATGAGGCTGCGTCATTAGCCGATCAAAAACACATACACACTAAAACACGCATTTCCAATAAAAAAAGGGTGTGATCATTTCAAAGTGTACAACCAGACATTGACGCTATGGTGCGGTCTCTATAGCAGAAGCATTCAGCATAGACATCGTATGTAGCAGCCGACCTTAGCTTCTAGTCAATGCCAGCTTACCTGAGGACATCGCTATACAAACCGGTCGATGACGCGGTTAGCCTTTTTTACCAGGAAAACGGAAACACATATGCGCTGCCGAAAACAGCCGCGATCACTTCAATCTTAGCACGTCTACTTGATCCGCCGACACGAGAAAAGCAACCCGAGTAGCGAGTAGTAACAAGAGTACCGAAAAAAAAACCTCCCATGTATAGATTTCATGAATTACCGACACCGGTGAATGTGGTCCCGTTGTGATTCCTAGACCCCCGAAGAGACAAGTGCTTTGTGAGGCATATGCCATGCAGCACTGATAAACGGAACACATGGTGGTCTGTGGCCGTCGTTGCCGCCTACAACTGTAAAGGGGGGGGGGGGGGGGGGGGGAGGCGGCGTTACGATTTTAAATCCGAGCTCCCGCTAAACCTGTGGTCAACTGACGTCAGATCAAGCACAGAGCTGCACTGGACGCGGGTAAGTTTTCGAATGTCAAGGCGCGAAACGTTCACTCCGGATTGTGATCGAGAAACACTGCCGTGGGTGCAAAACCTTTACTCCGGGTTGTGATCGAGAAACACTGCCGCGGGTGCAAAACCTTTACTCCGGGTTGTGATCGAGAAACACTGCCGCGCATGCAAAACCTTTACTCCGGGTTGTGATCGAGAAACACTGCCGCACATGCAAAACCTTTACTCCGGGTTGTGATCGAGAAACACTGCCGCGCATGCAAAACCTTTACTCCGGGTTGTGATCGAGAAACACTGCCGCGGGTGCAAAGCCTTTACTCCGGGTTGTGATCGAGAAACACTGCCGTGGGTGCAAAACCTTTACTCCGGGTTGTGATCGAGAAACACTGCCACGGGTGCAAAACCTTTACTCCGGGTTGTGATCGAGAAACACTGCCGCGGGTGCAAAACCTCCGGGTTGTGATCCAGGTTGCTCCGGGTTGTGATCGAGAAACACTGCCACGCATGCAAAACCTTTACTCCGGGTTGTGATCGAGAAACACTGCCGCGGGTGCAAAACCTTTACTCCGGGTTGTGATCGAGAAACACTGCCGCGGGTGCAAAGCCTTTATTCCGGGTTGTGATCGAGAAACACTGCCGCGCATGCAAAACCTTTACTCCGGGTTGTGATCGAGAAACACTGCCGCGGGTGCAAAACCTTTACTCCGGGTTGTGATCGAGAAACACTGCCGCACATGCAAAACCTTTACTCCGGGTTGTGATCGAGAAACACTGCCGCGCATGCAAAACCTTTACTCCGGGTTGTGATCGAGAAACACTGCCGCGGGTGCAAAACCTTTACTCCGGGTTGTGATCGAGAAACACTGCCGCGCATGCAAAACCTTTACTCCGGGTTGTGATCGAGAAACACTGCCGCGCATGCAAAACCTTTACTCCGGGTTGTGATCGAGAAACACTGCCGCGGGTGCAAAACCTTTACTCCGGGTTGTGATCGAGAAACACTGCCGCGGGTGCAAAGCCTTTGCTCCGGGTTGTGATCGAGAAACACTGCCGCGCATGCAAAACCTTTACTCCGGGTTGTGATCGAGAAACACTGCCGCGCATGCAAAACCTTTACTTCGGGTTGTGATCAAGAAACGCTGCCGCGGGTGGAAAACCTTTACTCCGAACTCTGATCGCAAAAAAGAAAAAAAAAAAAAGATGCCGCGGGGTGGTGCAGACGCGACCAACAGGACAGGGGAGAGCGGGCAGCGCTTCCCTACGCAATTTAACGCAAACACTGACGTTCGGTGTCGCTGACAACCAGATGTCAAGGCGGATCGGAGCGTTCCAAGAAAGCCATGCCGTATTTCTCTTAAGCTATCGGTGACTGCAGTCTCACTGATCGAGTGCGCGAAGCTTATGGAAGGAGTCTTTTAAAGTTGAACTTACATGTAAACGCCAGAGCCAGGAGCAGTTTTGCCGCGTAAGGTGGGAGGCAGCCAGGGTATGGTATGCTCAGGATGTAGCTTGCAAAAATTTGTGCCTGGAGCGCCATGATCAGGGGATCGCCAAGTATGAGGAAGTTCCAGGCGTACATGAATGGGATGACGTCGCCAAACCTCCCGAAGGACTTGCTGCCGGCAACCACGTAGGCATAGCCACCACCAGACGCCGGTAGCAACGTTGCCAACTCCATGTGGCACAGTCCAGCTGCAAATATTAATGTGGAAACATTTAAATATTTTTGTTTTTGTTTCTTGAGTTACATCTTTTTTACATATGAGATGCGGGTACGTGTCTTCGCTGGGCTCTAAAGCCACAGTCAGACTGCTAATGCATCAAGTCAGTTCGCAAGCAGATTCGAACGTAGGTCAACACGAAATCCGTGGTTCGAATATCGCATGTCAACGAGTTATTCAAGGAGAAACTTGGCACGCGGCATTCCAACTACGGATATCGCGGTGACTGATGTTTACACAATGTCTTGGGGGACGTCGGCTTAATGCTGGCTCCCATGGTTATGCCTGTTATCTATATAGACCCCTCTCGGAATTTAAAAATGATGCATAGATTATGCTCGGCGGCTTCGTTAGCATTTCGGAGTGTATTCGGATTGAAACGCGTTCCACATGAGTGCTGCGTCAGTGCTTCGCAGGAACTCGAAACCAGTCACGGGTTTCACACTTTTCTGCATTATCAAAATCGAAACATCACGTGCACATCATTTTCATCCAGGAAGGATTACTACACTTAACTTTTATGCGCCTATTAAAACCATGTACCAATGATTAAAATGATTCTCGCTACCACCGCTAGGGAACTCTTTTCGGCTTCCGGTTGACCAAGAAAGCTTATCAAGCCCTTTTTCTGCGTCTGACGCACGCCCTGGATCTGTTAATGGCCGCAGTCACTGTTACCCCTCGGGAAGTACATGATAGTGGTTTGTCAGCAGTAATTCCTGCAATGAACACGTATGCAAAAAGACAGGCGGTGGAGTTTGCGGTGAAATGTCATATGTGCTGTATTGAGGCAACGGAACTGACAGGCTGACCGACATGGTTCAGTTGCTGTGCGGTTACAGGCTCTGTTGCTTCGAAGGACGACGTCATCAAATACGTTCTCGTCTTCTATGTATTCGGCGATTTGGTTGTCATCTGGTTGGTCATCGCCAGTCCAGTCATTGAAGCGCTGGTCGCCCTTAGTCTGATTATTAATTGCTGTTTTTATTATCACGTCAGTTCTCACGGTTAAAAAAAAGAACACCAAGGAACAAGGTTGGGGGAATTAAAATGAATACTGATTAATTATATTCAATTGCAATTTTCTTTTTAGAAAGAGACTAATCAATTTGGAATTATACTCTACACCAGGGGTGGCCAGGAAGACACATTCAAAGAGCAATAAATAGGAACTGTTTTAAATGAAGAGCCGGAAAAAAAACTTGGTACTTTAAAAGTTTTTTTAAACATTTCCTTTTTAGTTGGTGGCAACAGCGACTTCCACTCATAAGGCAATTGCTGAGCATGTTTCTTTAATGTGCGTCCCCGCTTGTAACAGAAGTACCTGGTCCATTTGTATTTTGGCACAAAGCTGGCAAAACACAAGCATCCTTTTGATCTTGAGAAGGGGAAGGAGGGTTAGGTTTACCAAGGAGTAAGGTGGTAAAGTGGGCCAGTTGGTAAACGTTGAGTATAATAGAAGATTGCGCACAAAGAGGCGATGAACGTGTTTTGTTCTTGTCTCTTTGTGCGCGATATTTCCTTATATGTGCCAGGGAGCCGCAGCCGAACTTGGGCCCCCGAAGAGCCCCGAGAGGCGCGCGACCCGCGGTTCGCCCACTCCTGTTCTACACCTATACTTGGCGTCAACTATAGTGCGCAACCTTGTCAAGATTAGCATAGCTTCCACAGTGCCACAGTGCTCCCCAGCCGGACGCTGCTGCGAGAGCATGTGGTCGAGAATTCCTCCTGCATCTCATTCGCATTCGCTGAAGCAACTATTTGAAAGAATTGGGACAATGAGAAAGCTACGCTAGCCTTGACAATGTGGCCCAAAATAGTTGACGCTAAGTACAGAAGGGTGTGCGTGATCGCGAAGCTAAAATTACTTTCAAATTTGAACGTGGATTTTAGATTTCCTCCAAGTCGTGGTCACGTTGGTAGAGGTCACTACCTTTTTGCCGATGTCTTGAGGTTTTGATGGCCTGTGAAGCATTTATCGCGGAGAAGCGGCCCAGGTAAGGCTTAAGCTATTGGTCTCACAGCGCATCGTCGTGAATCTCAGTCCACCTTCAACCACTGTCAGGAGCATACAGTTTCGCAGTTCTCTTCAAGTCCCCTATCAGTTCGATCGATGGAACCAAGTTTGATGGTGCTAGGGAGGTTTGGAGTCGGCAAATGTTTGCAGGTATACATGGCTTGCGCTGACGTCGTATCGACCGGAATTGCTCCGTACCAAACTCCAGTGGCCGTACCTGCTGCAGCATATATTTCGCACCTCGGCACGCCTTGCTGAGAAGACAAATTCAATGATGCGAAATGCATGCTGCCGAAGATACGGGCACAGGAGCATGGTAAGGAGCAATGGTGGCTGGTACGGTGCCATATGACATCATGTGCAAAACATACAGGTATGTGGTAGCCAAGTCCAGCGTGGCTGTTAGTCGGTTTTGGTCGAGCATGCAAATGGACGGGGAGGGCACGTATGCAATCAGTTCGGTTGTAGTCACTTGACAGGCAGGTCGGCCCACAAGCTTCAATACAATCATGCGAAAGAATTGCAAGAACCCAACCTCTCTTGGACAATTAACGACAGGTTCAATGATATTTTGTCGCCAAAGTTGTACAGCCCCTTACCGGTACCTTGTCTTTCTTGATTTTCAACATGTGCTACATGTAATATCACCACTCCATCCTCTGTGCTTATATGTGCAAATAATTATAATTGAACTAGCTTTATTTTTATCCTTTGCAAATGGCCACATGACCTTAGAGCTATTTTCGCATAGTCTACGTAGTTGTATTAACGTCTACAGTTTTCCATGATGCTGCCTTAAGCCCCTTGTATCTTGCCATCTGCGTCTCCACTACGATTGTGTTTTGAGAGTGCCTGATGCCATTGGGAATAGTTCGTAATTTGTATAGTTACATGAAAAGTATGGCTACGTATTCTTCGTACGACTCTTGCTATTATATACGACGCTACCGAACTAGAATGATTGAGCGTTGGTTTTTTTTTCCTATGTCAAATTGTTCGTGTTTCGATATGCCTTTCGCGATAAAACTTTAGGTCATTGATCTCCGTGTCCACTAACGTGGCACTTCCTACGCTGCATCTTTGTTCCTTTTAGTTATAAAAAAGATCACGCAGAGTGACAATAAACCGTTACTATGTGGTTAAAGTAAATCTTTGTGCTTGCAAATTACGGCGAAGGCGCAGTACGAGCGAACAGAAAAGCCAAAATTCCATCGGAGCTGCCATTTTGTAAACGAAAACAACAATACATAAACAAAAAGAGTGATTGCTTCCAGCGTCCTACATAAGAGGGCGATTTAACGTGATAAAATATCTCATCTAGAAAACCATGCTTTCCTTTTCGTATTCAAAAAGGGTTTAGAATTTGTATCCTTCAAATAATTTTGCACACTCTCAATTGATTTAAATAAAATATATTTAGAAAACAGCCCCACCACCTCGTGTTTTAATTACCTCAGGCTTATTCTAGAGTGGGCAAACTGTGTATTATAAACTCTTTTTCAGAACGCACTATGGCACGGTGAAGACGGCTACTACTTTACAAAAGCGGCCGAGAAAACATGTTGCTTTCAAGCTGAGGCAAGGCGTTCTTTCTGAACCGCTGTGACGAGCAACGAGCTTAGAGTCTTTGAGTGTTCGAGTGAGTAACGAGTAACGAAGGGTACTTAGTGTTACTCAGTAACTCAGTAACGCGTATAGGTCTGGCTAGGCACGCACTCACCGAGGACATTAGTGACTCCTGTCACTAGCCATATCACGAGGGCTGTTCCGACAGAACCCGCGTTTCGGAAGACGATGCTGGGCACCACGAATATGGTGGTACCTGAAATGTGCAAAAAGAAGAAAGGCCCGGATGAATAAAACTTGTATAATTTGATTGATGTTAATTGTTTCTTTTCTTTAAAGCAATGTATGCTTGTCATTTATTATACGTTATTTTTTGGCGCGCTGCTGGTATCGCTTTGCTGATGTTCGGACGTCCTTTTCTCGGTCGTTGACGTGACGACTCTGATATTCGGGTAAAATAACTCGGTCAATTGATCTCCTCACGTTCTAAAGTGCCGTTCACTTGTTACCCTCTCTCCTCCTCTGGTGGGTGTTGCTCAGATCACCGTCGTGCAGCACGCCCGGTTGAAGCTCTCTCGTCACCACATCCTGACATTCCCAGCCGATCACCGCCAGCTCTCTCGCAAAACTCACACACCTCATATTTTTCAATGCTCGCGAACGCGCCTCATTTCCCTATTTGACAGCTATGTAAAGTCCCATGCCCACTGCTTTATGACATCGCCCTTTTCGTGCTGATCAGACGTAGCTCATTAAAATGCAATGAAGCTTGCAGGCAGTGGCGTCGGAACAGGGGCGGGGATAGGGGGGGGGGGGGGCGGGGGGGGAGGGCAGTCGATATTTACTTATTTCAAAAAGTTCAATGTCAGCAAGAATACTTAATTACAGGTACATAGCGTTTTTAACCAGAACTAACACTAAATTTACGAGTTCAAAAACGATAATTGAACGGCACTCTCGAGTCGACAATTAACAATATTATTTCTTTTCACGAAGTGCATCCGATTGTAACTCACTACCTGTGCACATTGTTAATTATGATAATTTTTTTTTTTTTTTTTTTATTTCTAAACCAACTCTTATCATTTGTGTAACTTGATAAATATTTGCACTATCACTGTTGCTGCTTTGCTCGAAGTGATGTTTTTGTTTTTCCTTTTGTACATACAACGTCCTTTTGAAATGTAATATTCCGAACGTGCTGTTGACGAATGTTTGTATTTGAAACCATGGTAAAGTGTGACCACACTCTCAGTAAAGCTCTTTTTTTTAAATGCTCTTGTATGCGACTCCTAGTATATTCCTCGTAAGAAATAATGGTCTTGGTAAATAATAAATAAAATAATATTACAAAGGGTGGGCGAAAAATCGCTG